TCTGAGAAACAGGAGCCGAATTATATGTTTATTTCTTTTTTTAATTCGTTAATGATTTTAGTAAGTTAAACATAATTATGGACGGATGTGCTTGTTGAATTCTTCTAGCGATTTAAATTCGACTTAAATTCGATTTAAATTTATTTTTATCATAGTTGACGAAAATGTGTGGTCTGGTTTTAATGTTACATCGTGGTTAGGCAATTGATTAACAAAATATAGCGAAAGGAAGGAAGATAGGATGTTTAACAACAATGATATTTCGACGATATTGAATTTGGAAGATCGTTTTGGTTGAGAGACAATGTTATGATGAAATATGCACTGCATTATTACGTGTCAAAACGCCAGAGATTTTAATGCAAATACAGATTTGAATGAACTAATTTGAAATTTCAGAAAATAATTGTATCTTTAAAATACAGGAGTTCTGTACTGATCCAACTGATTTGATTCAATATATGTAAATGTAATGTACGGTCGTAAAGTGATGTATCAAAACCATGAAAATGCACCGAAAACAAATCGCTGTTCAATTTCCGTTGTTTTTGTTTATTCGCTGACATTTTTTAGACGACAGCGCACACGCAATGGAAATGCAATATTTCGTATATTATTAATGTAATTTTGCAATTACGATGTTTATTTATTGGGAACAACGAAAGAATGTACTTTTTATGTAGACACGAAAAAAAATGTCTATTCGAGGAAAGAGTTTAAATTTAAAACAAGATTGAAATAATTGATTACTGAGCAATTAATTTATCGTGATAGAAAAAATACTTTGAACATTTCAACATAAACTCTTAGACTCAAAATCACAAGGTATGCAAGCTGTATACAATTTAACTTTGACTTCAATCTTTTTCATTTACTCATTTTGCAGTAAATGAATTGACTCATTCAGTTTGACATTTTAAAATCGTTGAAATTATAAAGATTCTCTCGTGACGGGAAAATCAAATCAGCACATACCAGTCACTTAGAATTACAACCATTCGATGTCAAATTCGGTACCAATAATTCACACTTTTTCTATGTTTTTTTCTATGTTATTCAGTCGCTTATCTATAAACTATCCCGAATTGGTCGAAAACAAAACTATCGTCTGAACCGCCTAACACGATCTGCCAAGGAACAACTCCCACGTTCACTGCAATTTTCCTATATCATCGAAGAATCCCACGTTACTCTCCTCATGAAATAATCGCTCGAAGTGGCGAAATAAATTCCAAAATCTCGAATCCAGTTCTTTCTCGTCGTTCTCCAAAACTAGCAGATACTTAACGTTCGATGCTAAGTTGAGTGGTACAGTAATCGCTCCATTTGCATAGCCACAAAACGATTTTTACTCCAACCTAATGCAGTCAATCAAGATAAAGAATCCCAGATTCGTCACAGTTTTCTTAAATCATCTACTACGACGCCAAGTTACATTCTACGTGGAAAAAGTCACTCGTGATGATCGAATAAATTCCGAAAGAAAAAACTGATTCAGTCCTATCTCGTCATTTTTCGTCCCATACCAGTTACTGAACATTCGACGTTAAATTGAGTGCTAAAAAGTTCTTCCTTAATACGATCTACCAAGGAAGAGTGTACCAACTTGGTTAGAATAATTCTCGAATCATCTACGACACCGAGTCACTCGAGGTGACAGAATGAATTCCAAAAGTCCGATTCAATCCTATCTCCTCGTTCTCCAAAGCCATCTCATACCAGTCGCTAAACATCGATTACCAAGTTCACCGCTAACGATTCCCAACTTCCTAAGCTTCTCGCCTCTAACAGCTCGATTGTTTACCGAGAAACCGAACTTTTCTCGACCAAATACAATCCGGCAAGGAAAACAGTCCCGGACTGGTCGATGAGTTTCCCAAACTCATCCGAGCCTCGTAAACAACTTAGCCGCCACAACGGTAGCCGGCGTTGGTGCCCAGGTAGAGGCACGAGGTACGCTTATTCGGCGGCCGGCGTCCGCAAAGGGTTAAAGATCGTCGGGAGCTGGAGGACCGCTAACGACTTGGTGCGGCGCGTCCGCGACCGCAAGGCCGGTCTTTCATCAGGAAATCCGTCCTCGCGGCGACTGTTCAAGACGAGCGGCTACCACGTTTACGCTCGGTCACTCGCGGGCAAAACGAGACGAAGGACGGAGGGCGCGGGTGAAGAACCAGCCAATCAAAGGAGGACGGAGTGGAGCCAACCAAGAAGCTCGGCCGACGTGCGTGCATCCGTTCTCGTATGTATGGAAGGAATAAAGAAGGGAGCAGTAGCCTTCGTTCGTTCGCCAGTAGCCAACCAAAGAGGAGCTACTGTGAACCGCCCTACCGCTGACTACCGGTTTTCGGCCAGTCGCTACTGAATCTCCATAGACATCCACCAACGGGAACCACACCCTCCTCCTTCTGGATCGACTTGGTACTTGGTCACGATCAACCGGGAATCCGCCAGGGAAGGGCTAGGCTCCCTGTCCACGGCCGCTTTTGCCATCCAATCGGAACTCGACCCTTTCGCGGTGATCTCGAGGGAGACGCCGGCAATGGTGCTTTCGTGGGTCGGGAGATGATCGGCGCGGTCGTAAGGGTGCAAATTTTTAGAGTACACTGCTTAGGCCACGCTTTTTGTGGTAGACTGTTTGAGGTGCGACTTTTAGAGCGATAATGGTTAGACTATACGAGGAAACATTTCAGTGTACGCTATTTAGCGTGCAAGTTTTGAAGTACGGTTTTTAGAGTGCAATGTTATGGCACATTCTTTGGAGGGTGCGAATTTTTAGAGTACACCCTTTTCCGGATAACTTTTGAGATAGACTCCTCGGGGTGCAATTTTTAGAGTGATAATGATTAGACTATACTAGAAAACATTTTAGTGCACAGTTTTTAGTCTGCACGTTTCGAAGTGTGCGGTTTTTAGAGTGCAGTAATTAAGGTGCATTCTTTAGGGAACACCCTTCTGGGGTCACTTTTCAAGGTAGACTCTTAGAGGTGCTGTTTCTAGAGTGATAATCATTAGACCATAGTTGAGAACATTTTAGTGTGCACTCGTTAGGGCGCAAGTTTTAATGTACACCTTCTAGAGTGCAATATTAAGGTACATTCTTTAGTGTGCAGTTTTGGGGAGCACTTTCTTGGATGAAATTTTTGAAGTGATGATCATTAGATTGTAGTAAGAAAAACTTTGTAGTGTGCAGTCTCTAGGATGCAAATTTCTACTTTTTATGGTGCAAATTTTAAAATACTCGCTGTATGGTGCACTCTTTGAACTATAATGATTAAAACGTACTTTTCAGGATGGACTCTCGCGGGTGCAATTTTTAGAGTGCTAATAGCACAGAACGTTTTTGTGTACACTCTTTAGAGTGTAAATTTTAGTGTGAACTCTTTAAGGTGGAAATTTCAGTATCCACTTTTTGGGATGCTAATTTTAAGGTACACGCTTCAAGGTGCACTCTTTGCAATGCAATGTTTATAGTGAACTTTTTAAGGTACAGCTTTCAGTTGAGATGTTCCTCGTTTCGACTCTTGAATGAGGATTTCTTAATTTCGATTTTCTCTGCAATCTTTTTCGATTTGTACGTTTGATGTGAAATGAGTTTATTATTTTTTTCTAGGTCTAGTTTCATGGGATTTCGTCTGAAGTTTTTATCTAATACGTTTTAGTCAACGATTTATTGATTTTGAAAGGATTCTATGCATTTATAACAGGAATTAATAGATCAAATGCAAAACAGTAAGAACATTCGAAGAATTTAGAGATACTGTTGCCTTCTTCAATTCATAAGAATGATTTAACACGAGAAATAACTGTCCACGTAGACTTGTTTGATAATCTACTGTTTTGCAGACTGCTTTCATTTTTTATCAAATTTATGTAAACAAATCGTTAAGCAATGAGAGATTTCTTGTAAAGTATTTTATCCTGATAAACTGAAAGCGAGTCTAAAAGATCTCGATTACATTACATTTTATTAATTAAAAATACTTTTCATACTGTTCGACAATTATTCCATTATTACAATATTAGTTGACACGCAGGCAGAAAGTATGGAATTGTATAAAATTGACTCGATTTTTGTTTCCAATTGTTGAAATCATCAATCCCGATCAAACATTGCATATTTAATATCGATGTACAAAAATTCTGAACCTCACAAAATTATAATTACGAAAGCGTGCGAAACACCGAAGCAAAACAAACTTTCTAAGATAGAAAAACACCCGCGGTGTCAATGTTTAAAACTAAACAATAAAATTTTCACGAAAATTCCTAGTTGCAAAAGGAGAGATGTTCGAAACATCCATCATCGGTGATACAAAGTTCAAATGAATGGCCGGAATAGGAACGATCGCGGTCGCGTATACAGCGCGGCGAGGTTTAGAAAGTGTTCGACCTAACAGAGGAAACAAATTGTTCCGCGCGAAGTCAGCACGTTGGGATCCGGACGAACCCGACTGGCCATCTCTCCGAAACCCGTCGAACAGCACACGCATAAGTGCTCCGCGGCAGCGACGAATGAAATTTAAGCTCAAAGTCTTGCCCGGTAGCCAATCAAAGCGAAACAGCTACCGTGTACCGCCCTCCGGAACGCTACCGGTTTTGGGCCAGTCAACACGAAGGCTGAAGAGGCATCAACGAATGTGGACCACACCTTTTCCCGCCCGCTCGATCCGGGACACAATGAAATATCATGCGAGAGTCGCGAGGACCGCGTTCACTTTCGTCGCGTCGACTCTCACCGGCATCGGATCCGGACGACACCCGAACCAACGGGAGAACACGAAATCGTAGAATCAAGGTAACTGGAAAACATTACTAACGAATAGCGACAACTACCTAACAATTATTCGAATCCCGAGTGGTTGGTTTCGTTAATTCCGATTCGTAGACTCGATTTAATCCCGATTCATAGATTTGCCCGATTCGCGCGACGACCGTGACGACGCCGTGAAAGCGTGACGCGGCGAATATTCGCCGAGGGATGAAAGAAATGATTCACTTACCGGTCGAAATCAGCGCGCGGACTTTGTAATTCCCGTGGGCTGCGGCTTGGGAAGGCACCTGGACAGGGGCAAGGCCGGGCCGTGTCAACAGCGAACTCGGAACCGAAACTGCGTGCGTGAAATCGCGCGTCAGCGAAGAAATGTGCCGGGCGAACTCGTTTCTCGAAATCGATTCTGAGTGGATCGTGTATCGGGATGCTGTCTTCCGGGCTGACAGGTCTGGACCGTTTGGGTGCGCGGCGTCGACTGAAGCTCCGTTTGCCTGCTCGGTTCGCTGGTAGCCCGAATAGGTAGGCACACCAGAAGACGGTAGGACGCGGTGTGTAACCGCCAAAGGTCTCCTTCGTCGTCGTCGTCTCGCTTCTTCTGGTTGGAGGACCGGGAGACACCTCCCTACCGAACCGACTCACCGATGCCCACAAGCCGTGTCGTTTGTCCGTGTGAGCCTCCTCTCGATTCTACCAGAAACGGTCCAGGATCTTCCTTCCTTGAACCGTGAGCGCGCGCTCCCGGCGGTGGTAGTGGTGCTGGTGCTGGTGCTTGTGCTGGTGCTGATGCTGGTGCCAGCGGTGGTGGTGGTGGTGGTGGTGGCCAAGAGAAGCAGAAGAGCGCGGCGCGTCGGAGGATCGCGGAGGTGGAACAGGAGCAGACGAAGGAAAAGGAAGAGTGGGCTAAAAGAAGAGGAAGAAGCGCGGCTGCTCCTTATCCTGCCGGGTTCAGCCGTCCTTGTCTGGCCAGTCGCCGAATAGCAGCGCGGTTATTCACAAATCCTTCGACAACGCGGCTTCCTGAGCTCCTGGGAGAGTACCCATCCGCCCTCCCCCTTGCTCCAACTGTCCCTCAACCTGCTCCCTCTCTTCCACGATCCCTACCACCGGGCCGGTGGGACCGCCCTCGTAACCGTTGCCTCGGAGCATCATCCCTCTTCGAGCACGCGAAGACCCTTTTCGCAGCGGTCTTCCCACTCTCCGGCGAACGCCGAGGCAGTTTTTTCGTTTTCGCCCTCGTCGCATGCTTGCCCCCCGCGAGGGCGGTAGCCGAGCCAGCGTACAAAGGAGGTAGCCGTCCGAAACCAGCCACCGGGTCCAGCTCGCCTCCTCTCGCCTAGGCCCGTGTCCTAGAATTTCGATTGCGCCGCGTTAGCATGCCGATCCGACGGAGAGAGAGAGAGAAAGAGAGAAAGAGAGAGTGAGAGAGAGAGAGAGAGAGGTCAGCCACGGTTTCTTTGAAGCCTTTGAGAAAACAGCCGAAAAGGATCGAAGGCGAGATCCGCTCGCCCACGCGAGCCAGCGAGCGGATCAAGTGGATCGATTCTCGGAAGAAGATCCGCGGGAGCGGTGATCTCTTTGTCTTTATCGGGGCCTCGCCGAGGCCAGAAAAAGTGATGCTGACGAAGGTGTGGGAGGAAGCGGAGGTGGAAGGAGCGTGCAAGAACGAAAGAGCGGGGGCTACACGATGCCGCGGGGGTTCCCAGGGCACGTGGGAAATGCACAGTAGTCGATGTCAATCCCCCCACCACGGCCGGCGTCCCGGGTCCTGTCGGGCCTCGGCGGACCCCACTACGGGCCCGCCGGACCCGAGAGCCATCGCCAGCGTCCCGGGCACCGCCCAGCGAGATCTCGCGGTATCGCTTCATTGGACGATTCAATGGACTATCGCCTCCTTCGCGAGCCACCGGGATGATCGAGTGGTGGAAAAATTCCACGGGAAAGGCCTGGCCGGCCGCGGATCGGGAAGAAACGCTGGACCGAGAAGACCAGTGAGCGATCGGCAACAAAGAGCACGCCGATGTACCGCTCGGAATCCGATGTAGCCACCGGGCTGCGCCACGCCACGCCACGGCCGGCCGTTTCGCTGAAAGATCCAGCCGGATGAAGATGACGACGATGATCGGGGAAAATGTTGCCCCGGCGAACGTGATCGAGAACCGATCCAACGCGCTCCCTTCGATGATTCGAGCGATAGCCAGTTTTTTTCGGGTCATGCGAAAACGACCGCGTGACTAAGATGGTGGCTCCGGGGCCGACTCGAAAGGATTATACCTTCCTTTTGACGGTTCCTTCTACGGTATTTGGGAATTGATGACGGCGATTTCGCTGCTGACGCGCCGCGCCGCAACATTTCGTAGGAAACGATGACTAGCGGACGGCAGGGAGAATAGAATGAAAGGAGGCGTTGAAGAGTTTTCGGGACAGGGGAAATTATCTTCTTTCAGGGGAATGGATGTGACAGGTTTCCAGATGTTTTTTTTAGATCGCAGGTTGCAAGCTACTTTTCTATTGGCGATTTAGGAAACGTAGAGGTTTCCCGCTGAGAATTAATCTTTCTCTGAATGATATTCAGCTTTTTGTATGAAAAATTGACCCTTTAGCAGGTGATATTCACCTTTTTACAAATCAAATTAACCCTTTTGTAGATCACACTCAACTTTTGCATTCGAAATTGACAGTAAACGTCACTAAGAGTGACTGATGTTTGTTGTTATGTAAGAATGACAGAACCGAATTTATTTAGACATTTCGTCGTTCTTATCGCTTGCATTAGGAAATCTATTCAATTATTTCCTGTAAAAAAGTTTTTATACTGTCAACAATCTTGAAATAGGAAATACGAAACCGGTCAAAACGACCGACGTGGCGGTCGGTTTAATGTTAATCCTTTCGTCAATCATAATCAACTTCTGTACCTAAAATAAATCTTTCTACAGTTTCTATTAAATTTATGCACTCACAAATTACTCCTTTTGCAGATCACATTTACCTTCTCCACTAAAAATTAATTCTTTTGTAGATCATATTCACTTTTTTGCACCGAAGATTAGTCCTGTTGTAGATCATTTTCATTCATTTTGCAATAAAAGTTAATTAGTTACCGGCCGCTTTAATTTCGTCAAATTAATTGAATTGAATTGCCAGTTTCATTCAGGCTGGTTTTATTGTTCATGGAACTATTGTTTTATTGCTGGTCAATCATTTTTATCCCGTGCGAATGTTTCGGATACAGCTTTTACATTGGAAATTAATCCTTTTGTAGACCATATTCACTTTCTAATATATAAAATTAACCATGTCACAGATCAAAATTAGCTGTCTTTCAATCAATCTTTAATTTTAGTATAAATTTTTCCTTAATATAAACTTCGACACGTTCGCTATCAGCGTCACTAGTGTGCATAATTATATTTATTCTACTTAAATTATTAAATACATCGTTTCCTTTTATAAAATATGATAAAAATGTCGTCAAAGAGAAGTTATAAATTCCCTAAATATCATGCAATGTGTTACATTTTTGAATAATTATATTCACAAAATTAATTATATGTTCTTCACGTGAAATACAAAATCGTCACACATGTGCGACTATGGTAACGAATGTGTTAGTATGAATTTTCTATGCGTTCTTCTGTGCAGCCACAGTTATTTTCTAATATATTGACGAATAAAACATCACATTTTGGATATTCTAGTGCGCGAAGAATTGAGGAAGAACAAAACTGAAGAAAGCGGACGGGATGAAACGATGGGAAATGTGCAGGTCTAACGAAATTGACAGGTAAAACGTCGGTGATAAGGCTGTTTGTGGAGGACGCATTATCGGGAACTGCGTAAACACAGATTTCAAAGATAATGTCCGAGGTGTTTTAAATACACAGAATCCGAGGGAAACGAGGACTAGAAATTGTACACATTCCATTGTGCGGAATGCGACACTTTTGTTCAAAACAGAGACTTAAATTCGATATGGTTTTGATACCGGTATTGCACTGGTAAAAAGTATTGCCGAAAAGTTAATGCAATTACGATACGTAGTAAATATGCAAAGTATATGCAAGTATGTGCAAACTCTATGCAAGATATATACAAACTGTACAGTGGCTGCCATATTAAATGCTTATTTAATGATTATTTATTTATTTAATGATTAAAGTATTTACTCTTTAAATTTTTTTATTACTTGGAATGACAAAAAGGAAATAAAAAAGCTCATGTTTTTCAACTTTATTATCTAATTTAAATTGTGCTTTCTGTAGAACTCAGTAACTTGTATGCATGTTGAATATTTCATCGAAATCAGTTAACGCAGAGTCAAGCCTCAAGCTTCAAGCGTTGAAAGGTTCGAAAAACTGTAAATTTCTCACAATTTTTAATTTTTGTTTCTCATTCCAAGTTATAGCAAAATTAAAAAGAGCATTCTAGTCATTGTCTAACAAACTAGTTACACTATCATCTAAATAAATTCAAGTCATTTAGTTCAGTTTCAATAAAGTTATACCGTTTTTCAAGTAGTCTTAGGTATATTATGTAATATAATATTATATAATATTGTATATTATATCTACTAAGGCAAACGAAACATTATATTCTTTTTGGCGACTGCAGTTACAATGTACTTCATAATATAATAATATATTTAATGTTACTAAATGTACTATTACAATATATATATATAATATTATATAGTATATTTAGTATATTATATAGCGTAATATAGTAAATACATAGTATATTATTTTTTTGTTATATAGTAAATACATAATATATTATATATTGTTATATATTTATATAACATATAATATATTCATATATTAATATATTATGATAATATATTTAATAACATTAAATATATTATTATATTCTAACCCTTTGCGCTCGAGTGGTGACTCCTAGGCACCACTAAAAAATGTATATGCCACATTCCAAAATAATTCTTACATCAACAAAATTTAGATTTGAAAAATTGTTAAAAGTATAACTGTTGTACAAGTCACAAGACTCAATTTCACACGCGTAAAATGCGCTCTGTCATATAAAATAGAGACAGCGTAGGTCAGAAAAATTATATTAGATTTACAGCTAAAGTGGCAAAGGACTAAAGTGCAAAGGACTAAAGTGCAGTGTAACTGCAGTCGTCGGGGAAAGGATATAATGTTTCGCACGAATAAAATATGTCAACTATTGCAAATTCTAACATCGTATTCTTTTCCACTCGCGAACACAGTATATTATTATAAACATGCTAGTAATTAATCAGATTTCAGTATCATAGCAATTGTGGTACTACGTGTCAGTAACAATACTTGTGAACATAATATCGATGATAAAATACTATTGAAATCACTTTGAAAATTATAATTTGATAGGGAAACTGAAAATGTTGCCAATAAATACGTATATCAGTACAGTAATTTCTGCCTAATTCGCGCTCAGATTGCGCACAAAAATTAACAATTAGGGAAAAGGAGATTATTCCAGCCTTGCGTCTCACTTTTATAATTATTGACAATCGGTAACTATAAAAACGAGCCGCAAGGCTCGAATAATCGTATCTCCTCTTCCCAAATTGTTCATTTTTGTGCGCAATTTAACCGCGAATT